CAGGTGGTCTCTGATACGTCTCAGTAGGATGTGCCTTGCCTCAACAGGTGGTCTCTGATACGTCTCAGTAGGATGTGTCATGCCTCAACAGGTGATCTCTGATACGTCTCAGTAGGATGTACCTTGCCTGGTATATTGAGTAGTGTAATGCCTCGGTGATTGCTGCAGTCCCACCGATCCCCTTTCCCCTTCCAGAGAGATGACCCTTCAGCAGGTCAGGGTGAATGGTACCAGTCTGCCGGATGGTAGAGAGGACAGTATGCAAGCCCCTTGCCATAGGTTCTCCACCAGCCTTTAACAGTTCAGCTGGGATGCTGCAAACACCTGCTGCTTTACCACTCTTCAGCTTGAAAATCGCCCCCAACTTCAGTCAGGGAGGGTAGATCCTCGCTGATGGGTGGGTCTGGCAGAGGAATCTCAACATTACCGGCGTCCAAGTTAACTGTTGGTGGATCAACCTCATACAACTGCCTAAAATACTGAGCCCAACGTGTCTGCACCCTATCAGGATCTGAGATTATCTGGCCACTTGCTGAGCGGACAGCAGTCGTCTGTGAGGAGGGCGGCTTGGATATTTACATATATACATATATATGTATCACACACACACACACACACACACACACACACACACACACACACACACACACACACACACACACACACACACACACACACACACACACACACTCTCTCTCTCTCTCACACACACACACACACACACACACACACACACACACACACACACACACACACACACACACACACACACACACACACTCTCTCTCTCTCTGACTGACTGACTGACTGACTGACTGACTGACTGACTGACTGACTGACTGACTGACTGACTGACTGACTGACTGACTGACTGACTGACTGACTGACTGACTCTCACGCACACACACGCACACGCACACACATTATATATATATATATAATATTATATATATATATAATATTATATATATATATAATATTATATATATATATATATATATATATATATATATATATATATATATATAATGTTATATATATATATATATATAATATATATTTTCCTCTCTTTTCTGTTTCATGCAAAAATGGCATATGCAATTAAATCCTACCATTTATTCAGTGTTCAAAATTTCTTTGTTTTGACATTTTACAGCAAAAAAATGAAAAATAAAAAAGGATCCCTCCAAAAGCTAACTTTGCCACAGCTTTTTTCCATTCATAAGTATTTTTCAGGTTCCACTAATAAAAAGTCCCCTGCATTATGCAGAGAAATCACTCCATTTTACACAAACAAATCAATTATCTGCATATTTTTCAAACTATAATCCAGAAATGAATTAGAGCTTTTGAAAATATAAACAAATAAAAAAAAATAATAATACTTTGAGAAACAACACAATGATGTCAAAAAGACACCCACATAATACCAGGAACTAAATTATAAATGAAGACAAACACATCTTCTTCCTTGTTTATTGATATCTTACATATATCCATAGTTCAAAGGAAGACAAGAGGAATTATAACATAATGCCCTTCTTGACGACAGCATTGCGCAAGTAATATCAATAATCAAAGCTACACAAGATAGCATTCAGATCGTTTATGAGAAGGTCAAGATGGAAACTGAGATTCATCGTATATTAGGTAACCAAAAAAAAAAAAAAGAGAAAGGAAAAAAAGGAAAGAAAGAGAGAAAGAAAGAAAGAAAGAAAGAAAGAAAGAAAGAAGAGGAAGAGGAAGAGGAAGAGAAGAGGAAGAGGAAGAGGAAGAGAAGAAGAAGAAGAAGAGGAAAAAGAAGAAGAAGAAGAAGAAAGAAGAAGAAGAAGGAAGAAGAAGAAGAAGAAGAAGAAAGAAGAAGAAAGAAAGAAAGAAGAAGAAGAAGAAGAAGAAAGAAAGAAAAAATGTTTCATGCTATGCTGTCACAAATACAAATAAAAAAAATAAAAATCTTTCTGATGAAAAAGTCAAAATAAAGTACTGTAGTTTCATATCTAGAAAAAAAGTACATTTACTTGAGAATTGATAACATGCAAAAAAATTTCTTCTCACATTTTATAGTCACCTTCAGTGTCTATATACATGGTATGCATATATTCACCTTTCTTGTGTATTCATAAAAAATAAGTTAATAAACGGAAATACATAAAACAATATCTAACTGAATCTGAAGCTAAAATGAAAGCACAATAAAGTAACTAACAATTCTATTACATTGATGGCTTGATATATATATTTCTTCAACATATGGATACTTCAACTTTGGAAACACATGCAAATCAAACTTTTCCTTTTAAATATGCTTTAACTATTTTATTTTGTTTTGCCTTTTTTTAGTCTCGGAAACTTAAAAACTCTGTAAGAAACTTTGAATCCTAATATGTTTACATTACTCTAAAATCAAGAACTCAAAAAACAAAACCAAGTGTCAAAATAGTTCATGGGGCTACAAACAAAACAAAAAAAAACAAAAAAGTTCATGAATTATACTAATTGTAAGAACAACCATATTCTGAACCTGGACAAAGCTAAGAGTATCTGTGTGCAGCTTTAAAAAAGAAAAGATAAAAATAACGATAAAATGAAGGCCGATTCTTCAAATCAAGCACAGGGTGTCTTACAACATGAATACTGTAGGTATCAATATATGGGTTAATTCAAAACTATGATATTTTCTGCATGTATTACCCTAACATCTTTTACTCTATAAATCAAACATTATCTTGAAATATGTAAGAGAAAGACCATTATAACCTAAGCTTAAACTTGTGCAAAAATGCACTGCGTCATCAGGATTGTCAAGTCACATTTAGCTTACAATTCTGTATGCAAGCCTCACCATGAAAAATGATAATAAACATAAATAAATTAAATAATACTTAATTCATTAATCATAAGTGATGATGATGGTGGTGATGATAATAATAATAATAATAATAATAATAATAATAATAATAATAATAATAATAATAATAATAATAATAATAATTTTTAATGGTTAATAAAAAATAAAAATAATAATGATCATGGTTATGATGATGATGATGATGATAATGATAATAATAATAACAATAACAATAATAATGATGATAATAATAATAATAATAATAATAATAGTAATAATAATTACAGCAATAACAATAATAATAATAATAATAATGATGATAATAATAATAATAATGATAATAATAATAATAATAACAATTATAATAATTATAATAATAATATCAATAATAATCATAAATAATAATAATATTAATAGTAATAAGCATTTCCACTCTTAGAAAGAAATAGCTGCAAATTTCACCTGATTCTCATTTCTCTCTAAATGGTAACTCCTACAGAAACTCACAAAAGCAAGAATTTCTATATCGCTGAATTATACTACAATACAAACAGGCAACTTTTAAGGCCTCCTAACAGACAACTTCTTTGGTTGAAGCAGGAACATAAAACCAATGTTAATAATAACTTTTTGTTATCTCAGGATATTCAGCAGCTAATTTTAAGTACAATCAGTGACCTTCTGCTCCATTACACTCATATTCTGAGAACCTAGTGGCTACTCTCACATGAAAAAAATATCCCATGTTATACAAATCTATTACAATGGACTTGCTGACCACAAATGCATAGCACAGCTTGCAAATGTGATTTAAAAAATACAATAACTGAACTGACATGCATACCTACATCAAAATTTCCTCTCCGCAAACATCTCAAAATTTTTGTTTACAATGTCGCACATACTAGTCAGTGTATATGCTCCAGGACTTACACACACAGCTGCTTGTCAAGACTCCTTTCAAGAAGTGACCAAAAGCTGCAGAAAGCTGCAATGTTAACATTTCTTAAGCTCTGGAACCCTTTATCACTCAATATGGACAATTCAGATTTCAATATTCTATGTCTATATACTTTTGCTAATTAGTTCACATTCTTAGATGAGCTGCACAGGTACTGCATACAAACTGCACCAAACTACATGAAACCATATGCACAAAAAGTTGCCACTGCTATCTCAATATGTGCATAAATATGGAGCATAAAAGTAGTTGCATGAACCTCCTGAACTGTAAATAAAAAAATACAGGAGCACCTGTACATTAATAAATACAAAATTATTATTTGCACAGATACCTACACAAGGCAATCATTTTTTTGACTATTTGTTTTTAGAAAATCCTACAATCTATCTAAAATATCTGATTGTATACAACTAAGAGCTGCTTCATATCCAAAGAATAAATCAATAGTTTGTTTATATTAATACCAAGTTCCAGTCTTGGTTATAGGATGCACTATTGTGTATGGCAATATTTTTTTTTACCTTAAATTTTCCTCTTATTAGTCCAAGATCTGTATTCCCTATAAAACAATTTTGTTCATCTTTTTAAATACGACTAATAAGTAGATATATATAAATATATACCTATATATAATGTATATACACACACTTGTAGAGAGAGCACATACTGAAGTTATATTACATGCAGAAAAAATAGATACTAGAAGAAAAATACATCCTACTCTTAATCATTACATGGACACTTATGTGACACTTAATAGCACCAAAGTTAGAATATTCCTTAGTAAATATACACCATTACATGGAAGGCAATGGCACAAAATCTCCTAAACTTCACCGCATTGTCATGGCACCTCTGATACACACCTTCCTGTCTACTTCCTCAGATCTTTAAGTATTGGATAAGAAAGATATAATGCTGATGGTGAATGGCTTCAGTACTCATCACAGCCTTTACATATATATTTATAGATATATATACACTGGACAGAATGGTGACAATGACCATATATTTATCATCTATAACCAGCATAAAGACTCTCCCAACACAGCCAATGAATGTCTTGAGAAATGAGATTTCTTGTGGTAAAATGGAGTTACTGATGTGAAAGGCTCCATGGTGAAAAAAATATGGAAAGAACTGCAAGGAAAAGGAGAAGATTAAGAGGATGACCACAGAAAATGAGAGAGAGAGAGACAGAAAAAAAAGGGAAGAGAGGCTTCTCATTCCAAGCCTCAAATGTGTAAACATGGGGATTAAATTTAGAGAAGAATTCCTGTAAGCCATAGTGAAATACATCACCTCAACATGAGACTTGAGGAAACTAGTGTCCCAGTTCCATGCCATGTTAAAACATGCTTCAGGACCATCAGCCTTCTTTGTGAGTAGGCCCACAAGGCACTGAAGACAGAGAGAGAGAGAGAGTCTGAGTGGGCTCTCTGCTTGCCTAATCTCCCTAGATTGGCACTGACCCATTACTGGTGTCACAAGGATCACCCCAGACACAGGAGCTGAGGCCAGTAAGCGAGGCCAGTTTACCTCTGCATACCCAGAGGTTGGTGGGTTCTGCATACCCAGGCTTGTCTTGGCACAGCAAGTTACCAAATCATCATTATGATGATCTAGTTAGTATTTAATTCAATATGCTTTTTTAAATATCATATGATATCCTGTATTGATTCTGTTATGTTTCCATTACTGGATGGAACTTTCAGGTGATCTGTATCTTCTAGGATGATCAATTCAATTTTTTCCTCTTGGTTATTATTCGAATTATTAATATCATTATTCTTATTAATTTGATTGTGATTTGTTGTCTTATTATTCACAGAATAAGTGATGCTATTCTTAATTTCAGATAGTGTGACATTATTAGTAGATACAACCGGTTTGTTTGAGGTTGTATTTTCAGGCACATTCTGGGATCGAGAACAAGTAGTGGGACCAGGAGAATGAAGTTTAGCTGGCATTTGATTAGGAACAGGACTAGAATGAGGTATGTTTACTGAAGACACAGATACAGCTGATAATGATACAGGTGGTTGGTCTGGAGGTCTAGTGTTATGCACAGAAGCATATGCTTGCTGCTGCTGATCAAAAGCCTTTTCTCTAGATGTGTGTGAATGGGGTGAGAGCTGGCTGTGCTGCTGGTAATTCTTGGCTGTATTCTTTGTAGCTGGACCTTTTTTGCATTGGGGGTTATCTCCAAATTCTTGTGCTGACTGTATCTTTGATGGTGATGGTTGCTTTTGGTGCTGTTGTTGGATCTTTATAGCTTCTTTGGTCTCCTGTGATGTTTGAGCAGCTGACTGGTTTTGTGGACCATTCTCCATAGAATTACCAGTCTGGCAGGGCTGCCTCTGTTCTGACACTTGGGGAGATAAATTCTGCATTTGTGAACTACTGCCACTCGCCTGATTGTTCTCAAGTTCCCACTCACGTCGCAAGCGTGCTAATATACTTGGAGCATCATCTGTATCCACAACAGACTGGCATGCAGGCAATGGGGCTGAATTCCTGTTGGTTTGACCAGCACTTGAGTTGGCTCGACGGACAAGGATGGCAGCATTCTGTCTATTGCTGCTGCGGACACTGTTACACTTCCTGCATGCAACAGTTGGGTGATGAGGATTACGACACATGGCAGGACGAGGCACTGGCATTTCAGTGGCAAGGTTTGGTGTGCTGGGAGACATGTTGGGACCTATACGCCTGTTGGGAGTCATGGGTGGACTTCCAGGCATGGCAGCTGCAGTGCCTTGCTCTGGTGCCAAAGCTGGAGATTGCATCTGAGGCCCCCGCAACTGCTGGCTAAGAACTTCATGCCGACCATGGTATGGAGGGGGGTCGCCACGAGGTTGAGCTGCTGGTAAGACTGGGATTGTCTGCAAGTTGGACTCCTGCCCAAGTTGTGCCTGTTGCTGCGGCTGCTGAGGAACCATGGAGGAAAAGTCACGCGGGGGTGGGAGAGGAATGCTACCTACCCCTTCCATTGGATATGAGGGCAAGGGATCGTAAGGTGGACAGGAAAGGACAGGCACGTCACTACATGGCCGCATGACAGAGGAGGAGTCCATGCCCAACCCCATGAGAGGCATGTCACTGGCAGGACGGTGAGTGTGGGGGACCAGGGCTGGGCCGGGATCTACACACTCCAGTAGTGATTGGGATACCGGGCCTTCTCCAGCTGCAACGCCAGGATGAGCCAATCCTGGAAAACACACCACACGCAGCTGCAATGAAATACCTGTGTGTCACCACCACACCACTGATAGTCGGAGGGGAAATGGTCAATTGCGGAACCAGTTCTACAACTACAGTTATACAACAGCCTAACCTATTTATGCATTCCATATGCAGTAACTAGAGAGTAACAATTTAATTTTGCATGAACTAACATACTGACTATCTACTGTATAGAGGCTATTCAATTCAATATTGCCCATTTATAATAGGTCTGCCTCTTCCACTAATAAAGGCTGTCATCAAGACCATACTTATTTACTTAATATTATTCTAATAATCAAATTTACAATAATTTGATTACTGGGCTTTACCTGAACAACATAAATATGCTAAGTGAAGGGTAATTTTATTATATAAAACCCCCCTAATACAACCTACAATGCATTCCTGATGTCATTCTAAGAACAGTAAGACATTCACTTTCAGATCAATAAATTAAAAACTAGTTTCCTAACTGACTGCTAACTGGCCTGCACATTTCCTATTCAAATCTAGTTTTCTAATTTCATGCAACCCACAGCTTTATTCTATATCTAGACCTTATTCTTTACTTCTAAATAACTAAATGTTCTGCTAAAAAAAAAAAAAAAAAAAAAAAAAAAAAAAAATACTACTGAACTGAACCCCTTGTTTTCATCTACTCCTTCAAAAAGCAATAAATAGGAACTCAATGCCTTAACCCCAACTACTTTTATATGAACAAAATGATAGCATATATTTCAAATCTCTTACTTTTTCATTCTGTCTAAACTGAAATAACAAAAACAAACCACTAACAGTCTGAAGAACTTTGTGACAATGACAGTAATTATGCCAACAGATACAACAGAAGGATACTAACATAGCACTACATTCTTCCTTTTTCCAAACTGCTAAACTTCTATAGTTTTACTATATCACTTCACTAATTAAGGTTCCATGACCAGAAAATAAAAGAGTAATGAAATAAAGACATAAGCACAGAGGTGAGAAAAGAGTAATGATGTAAATAAAAACAGGGGAGAGGAAAGAAAACAGCAAAGAAAAAAAAATTGTTGACACACACAGTTATTCAAAAATTAAAATGTTTGAGGTCTTCACACATGAAAATAGAAAAAAAGACAAAAATATTTTTATCAGCTTGGCATTTTTTGCATACTCATTACTGTAAATGAATAGGAAATCTTTAATATGAATAATTAATATACTGAATATATTTAAAACCAAAGAACTGAGTATACATATAATGCCGTTTATGTAAAAGCAGCATGTAAAATACACTTCACAGTCAAAATACTGCCAGTTACTAGTGAAATACTGCAATTTTCAATTTGGAATACCAAAAATCCTAAGTTATAACACTAAAGTTATATTACGACTGTCATGCTAAAATAATCTAAAAGTTACTGAATTTGCCTTCACATAACACGCACCCCTACTTAAGACATCCTCATTTTCCAAGGCTATTTTGAGCACTTCTTAAATATGTTTCACCATATAGTTATTGAAATGTATAAGTGGTGTTATATGGGTATCAATCAGGAGAACAGCACCCTGGACGATAACTGTAGCAGCAGTGTTGTTTATATTTTGGTCATAAGAATTATGATATTAAGTGAAACTTTGTATTTCTGGTCATGATGTTTTGTGCTACAAGGCGAACAACAGCTTCTCAGCATTCCTAAACATACAAAAATTGTCATACAAATATGATAGCACAATGTATAATAGTATTTCATTTGTTTCATACAATAATTCTCCACATTAATCTCTTAAACCACAAAGATGTCAAAATTCCCATATGATGTAGTGGCAAGCAATGCAACAACAAAATGAAAGGGTATACTTTTGCTAATATAGTAATGACAGTCATAACAGTACATTATACACTCCTCACTAGAAGAATATTTCAGCAAGGTTTCAAAACACCATAAATATAAAATGGTAATTTAAGACCAAAAATGATATGCTTTTGACAGTAAAATAATCTGGACCAAAGTCTGTAAATATTGCTGCTATTGCCATCATCCAATCATTGCAAATGACTGAAAGGCAGCTGAAGATTAACCCAAAACCACCAGGTATGGCATGTACATATATGACATGTCCACTGTGAGTTTACTTTATTAATTGTTTTCACACATAGATACTACTTGTCTCAGCTATTTACCCTTTTCCTTGATTTTCAAAAATAATTTACATCATCTTATATTGCCATTACTAATGTCAATAACATAATAGTAATTTTAATGTCTATAATAGAAATAACATCATCAATATTTTTAGTATTAGTAACAAAACGTTTTTCCCACAAATTCAAGGAACATACTTTCTGCGAAGGCAAATACAGCAATACTACTTCTGAATATGGCATTTCGAATTGTATTTTGAAAATATATCTCTATCAAAACTTAAAAATATCCACAGAATCATGCAAGAAGTAAAATCATCAAGGCCATGCCATAAAAAAAAAAAACTAATAATAATGCCATACAAGATCTGACTTACTTTCCCTTGCTTCGCATCCTCGTTGTCAACCAGTAGGTCATCGGAGCTGCGTGAGTGGGAATCCAGGTCGCGCACAGGCACGGGTGACCGCCTGGCACGTCCACAGCTGTCTGCTCTCAACCTGTCACCGACTTGTTCCCTAAGCCTGCCCCGCCCTCCAGCAGCTTGGTTCTCCTGCACTGCTGCCGCTGCCGAGACGGAGGAAGTGGACGAGGCTGACGATGTCGAAATGAGGGATGTTGAAGGGAAGGAAGTTGACGCCAGTTCCAAGTAGGGGTTGGGGACACTAGCCTTCGACGTGGCGCTCGTGCCAGAAGGGTGGCTCAGGGCAGGGAAGGGGGGGATGGGAGGGGGGGCACAGCCTGTGAAGGCATGAGGGATTATCAGTCAGCTAAAAAAAAATATACATATATATAGTATTCCACTACATGAGATACAAAGGGATGTTATGGCAAGCAAGGCAAATATATTCCATACAGATTCATAACAAGATAACATTTATCTTACTGAACTCTAGACAACAAATGGTCATACAAATATTTTAACCTGATTGAGCATTTTCAATACTTTTTGCAAAAATATGTAAATCAAAAACAAATTAATAATATTTGCTTCAACTTTCTTCATATTATATCATATACAATTATGTTAACAAAAAAAAAAAAAGTATTTCATAAAAGATATTCTTTATCCTTTTCAGACTTTGTTTCCTTTGTATTACTACTAAGATTCTGATTTATGAAGCATATGAAACCTTTAATCAGCAAAATTCTTCAAACAGAAAGGAAACTTAAAAGAATAACCAGCCATCATATCATTTATAAAAATTAGATATCAATGTGATCTGAATGACTGCTACGAGAGTTGTGCAGACCAAATATAAACAAAAAAATTCTTGGGGAAAATTACTATATAGTGGATAGGGGTGGTTTAAGAGAAACATTATGTTTCATAATGTTCAGTAAGCAAAATAAATAAAATGATTTACCCATATTTCTATCTCAACTAATTCTGAGAAAGCTATTACTGTTAGTGGCTTCATAAACTTAAAAATAACTATTTTTTTAATAAAATAGAAATTAGTTTGTTAGTGGTTAAGGGCTACATGGTGAGTCTTTACTCATTGGACTTATCTAATAGGTTAAAATAATAAAGATCTGCTCACCTATGAAAACACGAACAGGGACCACACACATGATTGCTGGTGTGTAGGAATGCAGACAAGACAGGCAGGCAGGCAGACAGATAAATGAGCAGACAGCAGGTGAATGTGGTGAATACATTCTGCTTTTCAGTCATGTATAAGGTAAAGCAGATGCAGATTCACCGTGACTTGTGGGGGTTGGGGTTGGATAAAACACAAGTGGCAAAGCTGAACGAACATAACAGAAAACATGCAGCTGGGGTATCACAACAGAAAAAACAAGTCTCTTGACATTTAGGTAGTGTGCACATCTCCAGATCTCTCACTCTGGATGCAGTGAGGGTGGGTGTGACACATCCATACAAGGCTTTCATCATGCGAATAACTTGGTAGACTGCATCATTGCTAACATACAATCAAACGAGACAACAGATGCTTCTTTTGTGCAGGCACACTGACAAGTCAACAAGTTATCCATAATTATTACAATTTAGTGAGCTATGGAGTCCCTTTTAAGGTAAAACTCCAGAAAATCCTAAAGTGACACATCAAATGCGTCACCAATTCACTTGTGTTAGGAATCAAAACAATATATCAGGTTTGCGCTCAAATCAATCAAGACATAAAGAATGACTCTCATCCATCCACAAGAACACGATATTCAGAGCAGAATCTTCTCAGGACTGCTGTTGCTAAAGCAGAATCTCACCAAGCTCTTCATCTCGTCTTGGCGTTCCAGGGGTGCTAGAGCCCCCAGCTGCCCCTCCCAGTCCACTGCTTGTGTGAGAATGCACAGTGGAAGCCTGGGTACTGTGAACCACACTGTTGTTGTTGCTGTTGCTTCTGCCTTCCAAGCTGAAAAAAATTAAAATTTTGAAATTTTGCAAAGAGAAAACAAAAATACAAGAAGAGAGGGAGGAAGCATAGACATAGAGGTATTTAGAAAAGGGTGAAAAAAAGAAAGAACAAGAGAGAAGAAGAGGAAGAAGAGGAGAAGTCTTGAGAAGGGAAGGAGATGGAGAAGGGGGTGAGGAGAGGGTGAGGAGAGGGTGAGGAGAGGGGGAGGAGAGGGGAAGGGGAAGGGGAAGGGGAAGGGGAAGGGGAAGGGGAAGGGGAAGGAGAAGGAGAAGGGGAAGAGGAAGCAAATTCATACCCAAGAAAATTTATACTTATAAAAAATAAATAAATAAAAAATAAATAAAATGAAATATAACATACATAAATAAATAAATAAGATAAATAAAAATTGAAGCTGCTTTCTGCCTTTCATCCAAGAAGACCAATAAAACCACTCAAATATACACTTCCTACGGACACCGTTTTTTTTCCAACTCAGAAGCCAAGAATAGAATCACAACTGAAAAGAGTGACCCCAAGAGGAGCACCCATGTCAAATAGCTCACCCTTTCCCTGCCACCAGAGAATTCCGCATGAGTGCCTTCTGGTACATGGCCTCCTTCTCCTCGGCCCTTTTCTGTAGCACACGAATCATAGCGTCTCTCTCAGCCACATGGCTCTCCAGCTCTCGGTTCCTGTTCAGGGTAAATCACCATTAATGTCTCTGTCTCTTCATCAAGATTAGGGGTATTGAGTACATGTCGTGTGGTCTGTGCAAGAGATATAATCATATGATTGTAATTACCTATCTGTTATGGATTTTTTTTCCCCTTTCTTTTTTGTTGTTGAAAATGACACTGTGGATTTGTTTTTGGTGTTAAGAGATAATTACAAATTTATACACATCTTGACAAAAGGGATCAACTTCTACTTTCCTCCTCATGAGTGTCCAAGAGTAAGGGTTTCTGCGTACCCTATCTACTGTGAGAGGGTACCTTCCTCCCTGTTATCCATGGACTCCAATATTATGATTAACACCAGTTTGCTACACATTCTCACATTTTTGAAAACCTAAGCAGAAGCATTTTCTTACTCTTATGATCTTAACATGCGATGGGCATGGTTTTGACATCACTCAGGGTGTTGGGAAGGAGCACAGAGGACAAACTCAAACTCAAATTAAACTAAAAAAACAAACAAACATAAACCTATCAATTAATCTGTCAGTTAACCATGCCTTTTAAGACAATGAACTATTTTTTGTTTTGCTGTGTGGGTGTAGCGTAAATGATAGAGCTCCCAAATAGTTAACTTCTTTAGGTTTAGGATGTTATTACAATAACAGTTGTGAGAATGTTTTAGGCGATTCAGATGGGTAGTGTGTAACATTTACACTACAAAATAAAACTACTTATACCTAAAAGAAATAATAAAAGAAAGAACAGAAAGAAAAAAAAAAGAAGAAAAAAAGAAAGAAAGTGAAAGAAAAAAAGAGAAAGAAAAAAAAAGTGAGAGAAAGAGAAGAGAGGAGAGAGAGAGAGAGAGAGAGAGAGAGGAGAGAGAGAGATAGGAGAGAGAGAGTGAGAGAGAGAGAGAGAGAGAGAGAGAGAGAGAGAGAGAAAAAAGTCTCCCTTACGCACCTCGCTTCGTACTCCGTCTGCTTCTTGTTCATGTTGTGTATCTCGTCCATGTGCCGCAGTTTCTCTGACTTGGCCTGGGCGATGCGCCGCTCACTCTCCTGGCTTGTCTTCTCCAGGGCTGCTATCTTAGCATCCCTGTAAGAGCATTACCTTCTCCATTAACATATGTAATGCATACATCACATGAACCAAATATGTATAAATGGGAGCATTTGGATACAAGAGTAATTGTTTAATACCTTGTCTTTTCTCTAATCCTTACTGCCTTCTAAACCCTACATTATCAATAAAAATAACTTTCCTTCTTTATATGTATAAAAACATTTAGTAAAAATAAGGTTGCCATATGCAATACTAAAGTTTATGTCGCTAATGGGTGTGTGAGATTGTATGTACACATATATACATTATTGTGAAGAGAGCGACGTGCGTACATGTATTTGTGCGCACAAGTGTGTTGTACATGTGTGTGTATATGCATATGTGTGTGTGTGTGTGTGTGTGTGTGTGTGTGTGTGTGTGTGTGTGTGTGTGTGTGTGTGTGTGTGTGTGTGTGTGTGTGTGTGTGTGCGTGCGCGTGTGTGCGTGTGTGTATGCGTGTGCGTGTGTGTAAGTGTATGCGTGTGCGTGTGTGTGCGCGTATGCGTGTGCGTGTGTGTGCGCGTATGCGTGTGCATGTGTGTGTGCATGTGTGTGTGCATGTGTGTGTGCATGTGTGTGTGTGTGTGTGTGCATGTGTGTGTGCATGTGTGTGTGCATGTGTGTGTGCATGTGTGTGTGCATGTGTGTGTGCATGTGTGTGTGCATGTGTGTGTGCATGTGTGTGTGCATGTGTGTGTGCATGTGTGTGTGCATGTGTGTGTGCATGTGTGTGTGCATGTGTGTGTGCATGTGTGTGTGCATGTGTGTGTGCATGTGTGTGTGCATGTGTGTGTGCATGTGTGTGTGCATGTGTGTGTGCATGTGTGTGTGCATGTGTGTGTGCATGTGTGTGTGCATGTGTGTGTGCATGTGTGTGTGCATGTGTGTGTGCATGTGTGTGTGCATGTGTGTGTGCATGTGTGTGTGCATGTGTGTGTGCATGTGTGTGTGCATGTGTGTGTGCATGTGTGTGTGCATGTGTGTGTGCATGTGTGTGTGCATGTGTGTGTGCATGTGTGTGTGCATGTGTGTGTGCATGTGTGTGTGCATGTGTGTGTGCATGTGTGTGTGCATGTGCATATGTGTGTGTGTGTGTGTGTGTGTGTGTGTGTGTGTGTGTGTGTGTGTGTGTGTGTGTGTGTGTGTGTGTGTGCATGTGTGTTTGCGTGTGTGTGCAGGTGTGTGTGTGCAGGTGTGTGTGTGCAGGTGCGTGTGTGTAGGTGTGTGTGTGTTTGTGTGTGCAGGTGTGTGCTTGCTTGTATGTATGCACCTGTCTGACTTATGTATATTATAAAAAACATACTATCTACTATAAGCTACAAATAATTAAACATAACAATAACAAGAAATATAAAAACAGTATTGTTGTCAGCAGGAGTATTAATAATGTTAATAATAACACTGGCATTAATAATGTAGCCAAATAAGCAATGAAACATGCAAAGTTGATCATATTGAACAATGCAGAAGCCAAACATGCTTTTAAGGATGTATGCATGATATTAAAACATAAATAAAGCTAATCAGCATATGCCCTTTTTTCTTTAATGTTAATGCAATGGTAATGGGCTGCATTCATTGCACAAACTCAATTTCATCTCTCTAGGCTGTCTATAACTCGGTGCAATAACAATTACAATAAGTTAAATTTTGTTATTTGTCATTTTCTAATAATTTTGTATTATTAAGTTTTCTGCGATACACCCTGCACCACCAATCATGGCAGGCAGAAACAGGATCCTGAGAATGGAAATAGTATCCACTCTGACACCAGTGCTTTCCAGTCATGGCTCAAGGACGGTACATTCCATACTCATTGGCCAGCGGAAATAATGTAAGAGCTCCTTCTTAAATGCCTACCAACTCTCATCACCTTCCAAGAGCTTTGTGCACTTTGTGTGTTATTCCTATCACCGTGTCCCAAGGTCAAAATTTTCCATGAAGGTATATTTCCTTCATCCAGCCCTCAGACAAATTTTTCATGATACCTGGTTCCTAGGTGTTAAAATTAACCTTTCCTAAGTTGCAAGACTCATTATCAATCTCCACTTATTTTATATGTTCACTATTTCAGAGAACTTGTGTGCTGTTATTTTCTGAACCAATGGTTACATTATCAGGTTCTATATCTCGATAACCACACAAATTCAGTTTATATTTTTTCCGACAATATACTTAAACACACAAGTAATATCTATATAAATATATCTATCAATCTATCTATCTATTAAATATCTATGTAAATACTGAACTATTTATATTTATAGCTTACAATTATATTTGAAGTCTGTCTGTGAGCTCAAGTCTTCATCTGATAAATTTTATCTTTATCTAACTATCTACAAGTATCTGTACATGTATCTACATGTGTAATTAAATTAATTTTTTATATCTATCTATACACCTACATCAACAGATATATATATAGATACACATTAATGCATTTACACATGCACACAGAGACACATATACACATAAAGAAAAAAAGAAAGAAAGAAAGAAAGAAAGAAAGAAAGAAAAAATAAATAAATAAATAAATAAAAAGAATAAAAAAAAATAAATAAAAAAAAAAAAAAATATATATATATATATATATATATATATATATATATATATATATATATATATATATATATATATATATATATATATATATAATATATACAGGAATACATATAAAAATAAATGAACATATAATATTTATATGTCTGTACGTGCCATTTATATAAAAGATATAGTAAGAATGTAATTTTTGAACTCAAATTATGCCAGACATGATGTTTACTATAGTACAGTTTTATGAAATGTCTTTACACAGGTGGCCCCACAATACTAAGCCACCAAGGGACAAAGTAGTAGTTTATGTAACCTCATATCTACTTTCCTTAAGTTTTGGGGATTTTTGTTTTCTAATATTGATGCTGTTGTTATTATCCTTTACATTATGATTATTAGTGTAATTAAAATACTACTAGCAAAATAAAATAAAGAAAAGGGGTAAACAGGTGAGATAGGAAGGATTAGTAACTGACTCATTAGTGACTAAATACCTGGAGCCATTAAATATGTAAAGACAATCAATAGACTAAATTCACTGTGGGCACGGCATGTACATTCATGTCATCCCCAGCAGGAGTAGGTTAACTCTACCATCTTAATAGATCACTGTACAGGCACAAGACTTCACTGACTGTGAGATTGTTGAATGAATCTCTCTGCAATGCCCAATCCATTCATGGCTAGATGAAAGTGTGTCTGACACGTGCGCCTGACTGCTTTCTACATGGATTTGAGAAGTGTCACTCTTTCATATGCTAAAAAAACTAAATACAAAGGATCTTGGGTAATGAAAAAGAATGACAAATCTTTCCTAAAAATCTATTTCCTCAATTTAATGTATCATCAAAGTGTTGTCAAAGTGACAATTTCATGTGTTTTTTTGACACACTATATAGCAAATTCAAATAGGACGACAAATTTTATCCTTACTTCCTACCAATATACTAAAAGCATAAATCATCATCATTAGCATATTATATATCCATATTTTTCTTCCAACCATGAATGAGGAAAGGATGTAATATCTGAGACTCTACAAAATTTAAATGTTATGCTAAAACGTAAATAAAACTGGCATAGCATATATCAATGGATCCTAATGCTCACACTCATACATCTAACCTAATAAATACAACAGTATAGACTTACTAAAATTTCTCCATCAATATTCAAAAGACTTAAATGTTATGCAAAAACACAAAACACTAACTCTACCATCTTAATAGATCACTGTACAGGCACAAGACTTCACTGACTGTGAGATTGTTGAATGAATCTCTCTGCAATGCCCAATCCATTCATGGCTAGATGAAAGTGTGTCTGACACGTGCACCTGACTGCTTTCTACATGGATTTGAGAAGTGTCACTCTTTCATGTGCTAAAAAAACTAAATACAAAGGATCTTGGGTAATGAAAAAGAATGACAAATCTTTCCTAAAAATCTATTTCCTCAATTTAATGTATCATCAAAGTGTTGTCAAAGTGACAACTTCATGTGTTTTTTTGACACACTATATAGCAAATTCAAATAGGGAGACAAATTTTATCCTTACTTCCTACCAATATACTAAAAGCATAAATCATCATCATTAGCATATCATATATCCATATTTTTCTTCCAACCATGAATGAGGAAAGGATGTAATATCTGAGACTCTACAAAATTTAAATGTTATGCTAAAACGTAAATAAAACTGGCATAGCATATATCAATGGATCCTAATGCTCACACTCATACATCTAACCTAATAAATACAACAGTATAGACTTACTAAAATTTCTCCAACAATATTCAAAAGACTTAAATGTTATGCAAAACCACAAAACACTGTTAATTATTCATGACATTTATCTGCAGTAATATGATGTTTATCATTAATTTTGTTTTCTATCACATTTTCACCCCACATCCTTTGCATGAACTAAAAGATATGACAAATAAACACAATTTACCTGATAATTGTTGGCCCTTAATAAGTATCAGCAAATTATTAAATGACTGCATTGCATTTACATGCAAATAGCAACAGTTAAGATATTTTATTGTTTACCAGTAACTGAAGAAATTTGGGGAAAAAGCATTAATGAAAGAATGTGGGATGAAAAAGTATGATTACTTCATGCATCATAAATCAGTCTTAAATAGCTCGATAGATGTAAAGAATGAAGCATTCAGAGAGTGAGAAATGGAGAGCAACTAGAGAAAAACCTTTTTATTTTTCTCGTACTTTTATACGGTTCTAAAGGTAAGACAAAAGCTATATTGCTCTCTATTGCTCTCTCTCTCTCATTCAACACTTCCTTCCAAATCATTCTCCCTTCCACATTCTTTGTGCTTCCATTCTCAATCATCCGTTCAGCTGATCATTCATTCATTTATGCACAGACTCACTCCTTACCAGACTCATTGTCCAACTCACAATCCGCTGAACCCACTCCCCCTAGGTCATTCTCTCTCACACACACACACATACACACACCCCTTTCCTTCACCCTCTCACATGCTCTCACTTGTAACCTGTCTATATCTATATGAAAGATACATAAAATAACATTAGCATATCCTGTCACACACATTCACATGAACTAGATTACCATACATATTTTGAGTAATATGGTAAAAATATTGCTAGGTTGCACAAATTGGTTACCCCCCCCCACACACACATGCACTCAGTCAACAAACAAACACACAAAAAAACATACACATATTCCCTCTTTCAATTTAACGTAGTCACCTTTTTTAAATCTCATTTTCCCTCTAAAAGCCACTCACAGTCACCTACTACACACTACCTCTCCAATTCCCACACAGTCACCCACTCATCACTCGCACTCTCCCTCTCACACCAATGTGCAAGTGTTAACTGAAAAGATGAGGAGGGCATCAGTACGCATTCTGGGGGATTCCGGTGGGTGAGGAGGAGACGCACTTGGGCAGAGACACCGCGTCAATAGCTAGCTGTCTCATGGCAGACTCCTGGAGGTAGCGCTGCTCCCACTTGGTCACCTCTCCTTCCAGCACCATGATCTTCTCCTCCTTCTCGCGCAGCTCTCGCCGAAGATCGCTCAGTTTGCTTGCCGGCTCCTCCTGGGGAAGTCGAAGTGTACATTGGTGAATGATAGTGATGATGATGAGAGTAGTAGATGTGATGACTAAAAAGAAGTTATTATAATAATGGTAAGAACACCAACAATAACAACTATAAAGATATAATAATAATAAAGTCAATATTATAATAATGAAAATAAACAAGATCTTATAAGATTAATATTAAGACAAATAATACTACATCATAATATCAACTAACTATACTATACCTTACAAAACTCAGATATAAAATATAAGAATTATATCATTGTATACATAATCAACTAACAAGTATGCTCATAGAAATTCTTCCAAATCTATACAGTATATTCACAAATAAATGCATCTTAATTCCTTCTCCTCCTTTCTTCCTAGCCACAATCCTCATTCTAGAAGTTGTTCTGAATCCCCCAACCCCTTTTCCAACACCCACTAACCTGTCTCACACCGAGCCGCAGTTGTTCAATCTCCTTCTCCAATCTCTGGCGCAAGTTCTTCTCTGATTGCTCTCTTCGGTCAGCTGCCAGTTGTAGGGAAACTAAGAGGCGTTTCAACTGTCCTGCCTGCTCCACCAAATTCTGTTTCTTACGTAACTGGTGGGTTTGGAATCAAAGACCACTGTTGTAATTGTTTCATTATCACATATACTGTATTGTTATATGGTGTATATTCACTTCCTGGAGGTCATTAGTAAGTCACAAGTTAAATAAAACTACATTATTTATTAGAACAATATGTTTTACTAAAGATGTAGTTATGGGCACAGTAAAATAATGCTAATGCAACTAGAAAGTAACTGATTTCACTCCATCATGCAAGAAAAATATATAACAATTTTAGAGCTAATCAAAACTCAGCAACATTACCTCTTCTTCGAGTTTCACCACATTAGCTTGGGCATTTGTCAGAGCAGAGTCTAGAATGTCAATGTGCGTTCGCTGTTCGTTCAAAGTCTGCCTTTGGGCTGTTAGTTCAATTTCCTGTCTTTCTTTAGCTGCTATAAGCTCCTTGTCTGAAAACATTAAATAAATTGTCAGTTCAGAAAAAAAAGGCCTCTTTTAAAAACTAGGTATCTATATATAAGTTCTAACCTCAGAAATGTGAATCCATATATTGGCAAGGATATATGTACACACACACATGCACACACACACACACACACATATATGTATATGTATGTCATGTAAATGTGTGTGTGTGTGTGTGTGTGTGTGTGTGTGTGTGTGTGTGTGTGTGTGTGTGTGTGTGTGTGTGTGTGTGTGTGTGTGTGTGTGTGCGTGCGTGTGCGTGGTGCGTGTGTGCGCGCACGTGTGGTGCGTGTGTGCGCGCACGTGTGGTGCGTGTGTGCGCGCACGTGTGGTGTGTGTGAGGTGCATGTGTGGTGTGTGTGAGGTGCATGTGGGGTGCGTGTGTGGTGCATGTGTGTGTGTGTGGTGCATGTGTGTGTGTGTGTGTGTGTGTGTGTGTGTGTGTGTGTGTGTGTGTGTGTGTGTGTGTGTGTGTGTGTGTGTGTGTGTGTGTGTGTGTGCGCGTGTGTGTGGTGCGTGTGTGCGTGCACGTGTGGTGCATGTGAGGTGCATGTGTGGTGTGTGTGAGGTGCATGTGGGGTGCGTGTGTGGTGCATGTGTGTGTGTGTGGTGCATGTGTGTGTGTGTGTGTGTGTGTGTGTGTGTGTGTGTGTGTGTGTGTGTGTGTGTGTGTGTGTGTGTGTGTGTGTGTGTGTGTGTGTGTGTGTGTGTGGTGCATGTGTGTGGTGCATGTGTGTGGTGCATGTGTGTGGTGCATGTGTGTGTGTGTGGTGCGTGTGTGTGTGGTGTGTGTGGTGTGTGTGTGTGTGGTGTGTGTGGTGCGTGTGTGTGTGGTGCGTGCGCGTGTGTGTGTGTGTGTGTGTGGTGTGTGTGTGTGTGTGTGGTGTGTGTGTGTGTGTGTGTGGTGCATGTGTGTGTCATACTGGCTTTCATACACACACAAATACATTAAAATAAAGACACTGAGAAGTACACCACAAGCACCATAGACACAAAGCATAATAATATCCTTACTTTGAGAAACCAACTGAGCGATAAACACGTCCCGCTTATTGAGCTCTTTGCGCAGGGCATCGGTGTTGTCGGTGGGTATGGCCCGGTTGGCAATTTGCGTGGAAAGTACATCTACTTGGTCCTTTAGGTCGGCATTCAGATCGGTCAGCCTCTTCACCTCGGCCTGCAATTTATGCCGGGCAAGCCTCTCTAGCTGTTCTCGCCGCTCGGAGAGTTTCACTAGCCCCTCGTGTGCCTCGTGTACCTTGATGATTTCTATTTCAAACTTTTTTTTTCACACACACACACACACACACACACACACACACACACACACACACACACACACACACATATATGTATATGTATGTCATGTAAATGTGTGTGTGTGTGGTGCATGTGTGTGTCATACTGGCTTTCATACACACACAAATACATTAAAATAAAGACACTGAGAAGTACACCACAAGCACCATAGAGACAAAGCATAATAATACACTTACTTTGAGAAACCAACTGAGCGATAAACACGTCCCGCTTATTGAGCTCTTTGCGCAGGGCATCGGTGTTGTCGGTGGGTATGGCCCGGTTGGCAATTTGCGTGGAAAGTACATCTACTTGGTCCTTTAGGTCGGCATTCAGATCGGTCAGCCTCTTCACCTCGGCCTGCAATTTATGCCGGGCAAGCCTCTCTAGCTGTTCTCGCCGCTCGGAGAGTTTCACTAGCCCCTCGTGTGCCTCGTGTACCTTGATGATTTCTATTTCAAACTTTTTTTTTCCACACACACACACAAAAAAAAAATTATAAATTAATGATAAAATCTAACACCAGATAAAATATATGTAAATGCCTAACAGGCTGAGTGCTTATACTGTTTCGTATAACAAATACTCATACTACAAATTTATCTAAATAACTATAAGATATAAGATCAAAAAAGACTAATAAAAATCAGAAAATTATCAAAATCCTTGTGATGATGGTCAAAACACCTAACTAAACAAATGACAAAAATGCAAAATTTACCCTCTGTAGTTTGGCCACCTTCCTGTGGTACATATCAATCTCCATCTTTAGGGCTTTATTCTCCTGAGCCAAAATGTCAGCCATTTCCTGTAGGTGACCATCTGCATGGTCTGTCTGCCCAGATACGATCCTAAAACAAAATGACATTAGCATGATCAGAAATCAAGAACTTGATATTAACCCAATGCCGCCAGGGAAAATGAACAAAAATGGGGAAAATGCTGTGCCTATCTTCTATATTTTTTGTGAAATGTCTGCCCATAGATGGCTCTGCTAGTGCCTGATTTGAAATGGTGGGAAAAACATATTTTTCACTAGTGCTATGAATATCAATGGTGTTATTTTTATCATAAACATTATAACTATTATAATGTTTTTTAAAAAACAGCAAAATAAGATAACGTAAAATATTTTGTAAATCAAAGAAAAGGGTAAACGGCCGAGACAGGTAGTACTCGTAACTGGCTCAATGGTGGCTTAGTACAAATGTAGCCATCTATGTGTAAAAACAATCAAACAAAATCTCACAGTAGGCATGGCATGGCATGCCCGTCGGCAATAGGTTAAGAGTGGAATAAATCTATTCAATCTTATACAAAATTTTGGCAAAATAGGTGAGTGCAATTATCCAAACATCTTCAGGGAAAAATCCAGTAAATGTTTTATTTCTCTTGTTCACCACTGTTTTCTGCATCATGCACACAGGCGTATCAAATAAAAAAAAAATCATAATAATGAAAATGAAAACGAGTACCTATTTGTGCTACAAGCCTCCTTACCTCTGACTAAGCAACTCCTTGGGACTTGTGGCTTCCTTGGCATTGCCCAACTTGGTCAGATCAGGCTGTGACTTTGACAGGTTGGACTTTTCAATGCCGTGCTTGGCCATTTCCATCTGCTGCTCCTGCTTCTCCGACTCCTGGAGCCGCCAGATTGGATAAGCTGGGGGAGGTGGTAGGTTAACCACATCGTAGTTGGGGCCGGCATCCACTGGGTTGTATTGCAGGGGCATCTGGGAGAGGTCCCGCCCAAATGGCCCTGCATTCTCTGTGAGGAGGTTGATACCACTATTGGAGCTGGAAGCACTCTGGTCACTGTGGCCACCCTTTCCCTCCCGACCCAGGAGGTGCTTCAGAACCTCAGACTGATCCAGGTATGAGGAGGGGATGTCTGGCAGGTCTGTAGCAGCAGTGTGGGACAGCTTGGAAGAGCCAAGGATGTTGTTCTGACTGAGGTAAGAGGGTACAGCTGTCTTCTGTGTGAGTGCGGACGAGTCGAGCACCGAGGAATTCAACAGGGATGAGGAGATGAGGCTTGAGTTGAGTACAGATGAGTTAAGTAGAGATGAGTTAAGATTAAGAGATTCCATATTCAGTTTGTGCACTTGGCTGTTGTAAGTGGCAGCCCCTTCTTGATTGTCATGCAGATTGGAGGGTCTGGAATAAAGGAGACACTTATAAATAAATGAATATAACTAATATGTAACAAAATCTATAAATAAACCTGTGTATCTATATCTGCACATATAGATACATAAGTAGACTAAGCATGCTGATAGACAAATGGGTTTAACAGCTGATGAAGATAATGAATGAGCCAGTGATATTAATATTAACCCAATGACTATGGATTTATGTATTGTCCCCTTGTAGTTTTTGTGTATTTTGTCACTTACAGATGGTTCCACATGTCTTCAGCCATAATGAAGTCTATCAGTAAGCCCTGTTGACCACGCCTGATTTCCCCATTCCTTGAAGTTGCGGGTAACTGTGTTTTTCTTTATAATATTGATATTGATACTGTTATTTTTTTAAATGATATTATGATTATTAATTGTTATTAAAATATTAATAACATCAAAGACAATAAAATAAGACAAATGAAGCTTTCCAAATACAAAGGAAAAGAGTAAACACGTGAGATAGGTATGACTAATAACTGACTCCTTGGTGACTAAGCACTTGCAGAGCCATCTATTTGTAAATAGAATAGATGGACTTTCTGGCCAAGACACATGACATAAAACAAACAAAACAGAAAGAGACAAAAAAGTAAAACATACACAGGGATAGGCCTATGACTACATAAGTTGGCTGCATAGAGGCCCTATGAAAGATGTGTTGACTCTCCCTCTCATTACAGAACATAATTACTTAAGAGTGCAAAGATCATTGAATATCTTATAAGGAATTGAAATGGTAGAAGTAAAGAGGATAGTACTAATGACAGCAATAATGATGATGATTATCAACTCTAGCACTGGGTTCATGGACTGTCCACTGTAGTTCTGTTTTATAATTCTATTTATACAGATGGCATTTACAATTACTAAGTAGCCAGGGAGTCAATTACTAGGCTCACCTGACCCCCCTTTTTTTGGGGGGTGGGGGAGGGGAATCATTAATTCTAATAATACTATTATTATCAATTATGTTATTACTACCAATATTGACAGTATCATTCTTATTACTGACAATACTAATAGTAATAAAAATCAATATTTTCCTTCCCAACACTTTCAGAAATGGGGTAAATAAGCATGAACAAATCAGTAAGTAACCCCTGTGTGTAAATAGTGGACTGCGGATATATAAATACCCTACCAGTTAAAATGAGTTAATAAAGACACTTATTATACCAATACTACTACAACTAATGATAACAACTTCATGTACAAAATGGTATAATACTCTCCAAGATACTCACACTGACTTTCTTCCTGCCATGGGAGTGGAGTATCCACCTGGCAACCACCTGTGTTGCCATGGATCATCAGACACATTGTTATGAATGATCAATGTATTTGTGCTACTACAAATAGATGCATTAGATCTGGAAAGAAAAAATCCAAAGAAAATCAGATTATGAAATTCAAATACTGGACTTGATGTATAACAAGCCTATAACTCCCATAAATCTCATCAACCGCAATGACGTTTACGACTCCTTTTTAATGTGGTAAGGACAGGAGACATTCCTGAAAGTATTCCTATT